AATATTTTAATTTTTAATTTACATTATTAGTTTTTTCTATCAAATTTTAATTTATTTTCATTCATCGTTAAATCTATGATCTTATGTTTATATATATATATATATTTGGTCTTTATTTTCTTTATTTTTTATTTTTGAGTTGAATTCTCTTGTGAATTTGATTTTGTTTTTTTGTAAAAAGTAAATTGAAATAAATTATAAAGCATAATTCTTAATCAATCAAGTATTAAAGGATGAAATTTAAGAAAAAAACTTAAAAAAAGACACGAAAAAGGCCTCGAGTCAACTTGGGTTAATTGGGTTAATTTACCAAACTCATAACTCGAATCATAAGACTAAGATAATCTCGTAGAAAATAAACCAAGCATAAAACTCAAGTCAACTTAGATTAGCTTGTTAAGCTCGTGGCCCAAATCATGAGCTAGAAGAGCTATATGGAAAATAAGCTATAAAGTTCAATTCTCGATAAAATTATTATTAAATGATAAATTTTTAAAAAAAATCTAAAAAGAAAATACAATAAAACAACCCGAATTAACTCACAAAACTCGTAACCTAGATTATAAGACTATGGTAATCTCATAAAAAATAAACTAAAATAAATAATAAAATCAAATTTTTAATCAACCTAATGCTGAAAATATTAAAAGATAAAATTAATTAAAAAATTTGAGTTAAATAGATTATTCTCCCAGTATTATTACAATTAATAATATTTTATAAGGTAACGCACAATAGAAATTAAAAAGCTTTATCTTTTAGTTGTTTTATTAATTTATATAATAAGAAAATTAAAAATTTTCTTTTTAGGATAAACTATGCAACAATCAAATTTGAAAGGAAAAGAAAATCGAAATCATCAACATATAATCATAATTCTAAAGAAATAACATCAATACACCTTCTTTTTTTCTTAATTTCTCAATCATGCTCTTGAAAAAAAAAAATCAAACTATCGTATCAGCTTCACCCTTCAAAACAAGGTATCTGGTTCATCCTTCAAACTTCATGAGAAATTTAGAAAGACTTTCTATTTTACCTTTAAAACTAAGAGTTTTTTTTCTCTCAAACAATTACACCCATGAGGGGGGCCCACACACACATCAATAATACATATCACGCAGATTTTCATAATAATTATGTAAGGAGGCTCAAAGGGTTATTTTCATATCACAAAATACCATATGCTAACGTCTTAACAAAGGCAAAAGGAATTGTTTTACCATACACACTCATATTTTATTATTGTGTATTTTTACAATAAAACTATCATTTTTCCCTTAATAATTTAGGTTTTATTGCATGCTTTCAAGGAGAATATAATATTTTCCGGAACACATTTACTACTACAGGATTAAACGGGACAAATGGATCTTTTAATTTTTTATTTGCATAGTATAATATTTAAAATATCCTCAAAAATTAAATTTTCTTAGCAACGAGAGTCTTGAAATTTTTTGGTTTTACTTCTTAGCACAGTATAGTTGCTAATTAGCCCTTGGAGTTAAATAATAGTCTAAAGCTAAGATAATGATTTTTTTAGTTTTTTTTATTATGTTTATTCCTTTAATATTATGTGGGTAAAGGATAATTTGATATTTATATAAATTAAATAAAAAAATTGCTAGCATGTGTTTCATAAACTCTAGCATATGAAAGGTATTGCATCTTTTAGATAACTTGTGCAACATTTTTCAATAACTGAACATTATATTTTAAAATAATATTTGATATACTTTACCGTGTTAATGATTTTTCTTCCCCAAACTCTCCTCTCTTTCTCTATCTCTAACCTTGGGAAAAGTGTAGCAGTTGCAAAAAAAAAATATAAAAGTGTGTTATTTGTTAAGTTTATTACATTTAGTTGTTGTTCTTTTAATTATTTTAAATTTTATTTATTTAGTTTTTTATATTGATTTTTTAACTTTTGAATTTTATATCAAATTTAACCTTTTATTTTATGATATTTGAGGTTTAACCTTCAATATTTTAATTTTTAATTTACATTATTAGTTTTTTCTATCAAATTTTAATTTATTTTCATTCATCGTTAAATCTATGATCTTATGTTTATATATATATATATATTTGGTCTTTATTTTCTTTATTTTTTATTTTTGAGTTGAATTCTCTTGTGAATTTGATTTTGTTTTTTTGTTTTTGCACCTCAACTCAATATTTGATGATATTTAAGGTTTGACCCTCAATATTTTGATTTTGATTTTTTATTTTTAGCTTTTTTATCATAATCTAATTCATTTCCAATTTTATCCTTAGATCTATAATCTTTTTTTTTTAGATTCATTTGTTAAATTGATTTCTTTTCAATTCAAAATTTTAATTTATCCTCTCAGTTTTTTTCTTCTCATATGAGATTCTTGTTCTTTTAATTGATATTTTTTTTTACCCTTGATTTTGTTTTCTCTCATTGTTCACCATTTTTTTTGTTTCTTTGATTTTTCTCATTGTTTATAAATCCTACTCGAAAGTTAATCTGGAACAACTATCAGATCATTAGTTAAACAAGTTAAACCAAGTCAATTAAATCTTTTTTTATATAAAAAAAGTCAACAATATTATTTAAAAAAAAAATAGTCAATGATTTTTAACTATATTTTAACTAGATTTGCTCCAGGTTAACTGAAATATTGGTTAACTCAGGTTTTTGACCATCTTATACTGGATTTATTCTCTTCCAATTTTTTTTGAAACTCGGTCCGGTCTAAATCATGGATCACTTAAATCATAAGTAAACCTATTAGATCAAGTTAAGTTTTAAAATTATAGTTGTTTAGATGCAATGTTTTTAATTTAGTCACTAGTTAGGGTTATGAATTTGAAAAATTAACAAGGGTTGATGTCATTTTGTTTATCAATTATATATTTCAATTTTTCTATCAAATTTTAATTTATTTTCACTTTCATAGTTAAATCTATGATCTTATGTTTTTTTTATATATATATATATATATTTGGTCTTCATTTTCTTTATTTTTTATTCTTGAGTTGAATTCTCCTGTGAATTTGAGTTTGTTTTTTCGTTTTTGCACCTCAACTCAATATTTGATGATATTTAAGGTTTGACTCTCAATATTTTGATTTTGATTGTTTGTTTTGAAAAATAAATTTTATTAATTTTCTTCTGTTTTTTTTTCAATCACGCCATCCTTATCTCATGATCTAGATGAAAGGTATATCTAAATGACCCATGTTTTTTTCATATCATTTTTTTTTATCATTTAAAAATAGTTTTTTTTTAAATTAAATTTCATTTTTTTTTCTCATTTTGCCTTTTATTGTATTACTTTGTCCATATATTTCTACTTGCAGGTATTGATAACCTCACTTGATTTTACTAGTATTTTGTTTTTTAAGATTTTTTTTTAAATTTTATTGTTTTATATACTAGTATTTTGTTTTTTAAGATTTTTTTAAAATTTTATTATTCTATGTTTTATGTTTTGATTATTAAGAATTGACAAGATTATTAAGAATTGATAATCATTATTTTTTTATGATGTTGAGCCGTGATTCTTTTATTCTTTAAAATATATTAGCATCATTTTAGAATTATTTTTTATATCATAAAAAAAAAAGCAATTTGACCTCCACTTACCTATAAGAGAATCTTTAAGAAGAAATGCTATTTTAAAAAGTTTAATTAATAAAATAATATTTTAAATAATATCATTATAGATTTTTTTATCATGGATATTTCAATAAAACAAAACTATTTAAAAAATCAATTATATTTAAGTGAAAAAAATAAATGTTTTATTTTATTTTAATAAGTTTGATACTATTTTTTTTTATCAAAAGTCAACAATATTATTTAAAAAAAAAGGAAATAGTCAGTGATTTTTAACTATATTTTAACTGGATTTGCTCCAGGTTAACTGAATCATTGGTTAACTCAGGTTTTTGACCATCTTATACTGGATTTATTCTCTTCCAATTTTTTTTGAAACTCGGTCCGGTCTAAATCATGGATCACTTAAATCATAAGTAAACCTATTAGATCAAGTTAAGTTTTAAAATTATAGTTGTTTAGATGCAATGTTTTTAATTTAGTCACTAGTTAGGGTTATGAATTTGAAAAATTAACAAGGGTTGATGTCATTTTGTTTATCAATTATATATTTCAAAGTTGTTTGTTTTGAAAAATAAATTTTATTAATTTTCTTCTGTTTTTTTTTCAATCACGCCATCCTTATCTCATGATCTAGATGAAAGGTATATCTAAATGACCCATGTTTTTTTCATATCATTTTTTTTTATCATTTAAAAATAATTTTTTTAAAATTAAATTTCATTTTTTTTTTCTCATTTTGCCTTTTATTGTATTACTTTGTCCATATATTTCTACTTGCAGGTATTGATAACCTCACTTGATTTTACTAGTATTTTGTTTTTTAAGATTTTTTTTTAAATTTTATTGTTTTATATTTTATGTTTTGATTATTAAGAATTGACAAGATTATTAAGAATTGATAATCATTATTTTTTTATGATGTTGAGCCGTGATTCTTTTATTCTTTAAAATATATTAGCATCATTTTAGAATTATTTTTTATATCATAAAAAAAAACAATTTGACCTCCACTTACCTATAAGAGAATCTTTAAGAAGAAATGCTATTTTAAAAAGTTTAATTAATAAAATAATATTTTAAATAATATCATTATAGATTTTTTTATCATGGATATTTCAATAAAACAAAACTATTTAAAAAATCAATTATATTTAAGTGAAAAAAATAAATGTTTTATTTTATTTTAATAAGTTTGATACTATTTTTTTTTATCTGGCTATATTTAATTGATTTATTTTTTTGGTGGGTCACTTTGTTACTTTTAGTTTTTTTAAAAGATATATATAAAAAATTTATTAAAAAATTAATATTTTATTTAACACTTCTTTTAAAATACATAAAATAAACATAAAATAATTAAAATAATATTTTTTTTTAATTTTTAACTTCTCATTTAGCACATGCCAGGAGTTGCTGTAACAACGCAGGGCAAAATTATTAACCCTAGAGTCAGGCCAAGCATGAAATGTCGTGATATTCTGATACATGGGGCTAAGTACTTGATCACTACAGTGAAATTTGATTTGCTTACTGGACGGTATGATAACTCAGTAAATCCAGGACCAAAAGGGCTGATCTTCCGCTGAGAATTCAAAATTACATGAACTTGCAGGTGGCTCTCGGTAGAGGTTTGGAAAGTACGGAGGGGGTAGAAAGCTCCTGGTGAGATTATCTTCTTCAACCTGGGAAGAATCCGGTTGGTCTGACTCGAAAACACGATAACAATCCGGTTGGTCTGAGTTGAAAGCATCATTTTTAGCTGAACTTTCTTCTTGTTTGGGTGTCACCGTTGGCACAATGGCGGAAACATTTTCAGACACTGTATCAGGAAGAGGCTCAAGTTCTGCATCCGGTGAATGGATGACATCAAATGGTTCTGAACTTTCCATACTTTCCTCTCTGCTAAGCAATTTTTCTTTCAGTGAAAGAAGCTGTTGAATCATAAAAACCGAAGCATTAGTCAAAAATTCATAATTGAAAGCCAATTAGTTGCTGAATGCTACTGTTGAGTGCTTGCAGGTAAGGGTTACCTCGTTTTTCAAATTCTGCTCCTCGAGAAGGAGTTTGTCATAATCAGCCTTGAGTTTGTCAAAGCAGATTCTCAAGGAGTCGTATTCCCTTTCCAGCTTCTTGTTCTTGAACCGAGCTCTACGGTTTTGAAACCATATTGCAACCTGGCGAGGCTGCAAGCCGAGTTCTTTAGCAAGCTGCATTTTCCTCTCTGGTTCAAGCTTATTCTCCGCCTCAAAGCTCTTCTCAAGAAACTGGACTTGAGCTGCTGTAAGCCGCCTTTTCTTTTCAGATGGCTTAAGGTGCGCATCATCATCCTCATCGCTACTTTCTTCTTTGACATGTGGTTGGAAAAAAGACATATCTACAGTGTCTCCTCCATCATTCCTAAAATTAACCATAGATTTTGCACCTGGAACAAATGATGGCAAACACTGTTATCGCTTGCAGCATGATCATGAATAGTCGCTATCTAGCCTCAGTCCAACCAAAGAAGCTAATAATGAACACGGCCCCAATTTGTTTCAATCTGTGAGCGAAACTAGCTTCGGAAAGCTCATGTATGCAGGACAAGGCTAGTTCCGAGAGTAAATTAGCAGGACCCCTACCACCCAAGATGTAGAAAAACAGAAATTCATGCCACTGGCCTAAACTCTAAAGTGAGAATTCTATATTTCTATGCAAAAGCTTCAATCTTTTCTTTACAGTATGATGAAATAAAAAAAGCAATCTGTTCTTGAAAGGCATCGTAAATAAAAAGTAAAAGACTAGAAACTAGTAGTAGTACCTTGTAGGCTAGCACAAGGGAAAATTCTTCTCGAGAAATCTAATAGAAGAAGGTAAGTCTCTGGAATCTATAGAGATTTAGAGATGAGCAACCTCGGAATGAAAGATTTCACTCATAAAGGATTAGCATATATCACCACATAGCAGAAAACAGATAAATTACAAACTTGAAACAACAAAGAGAAAGAGTTGATATTACAGTTCCGACAAGATACAAAGCATGAAAGTTAAAACATATCATAGCTTATCAAATGGAAAAGGATGGCAGCAAGAAAATTAAGTTCAAAGAATGTGAGTACCATGAAGAGTGCTAAGAGAGGTGAAAATACAGAGAGATTCACAAGGAGGGAGCCTGCCGTTTCGAAGAAAAATGGTCATTTTAGAACTGCCACAGTCTGCATCACCCGCCATGAAAGCTAAAGCCTAATCCTGCCTTCGATCTTCTTTCTGGTCTCTTAAACAACCAAATAATATTTCGGAGAAAGGAATCAGAAAAAGGTCACTAGTGTTTGGAATGTGATGTAAATGTTCTTTAAAAAACATTTAAAAATAAAAACAGAAGTCTGTAACTTCCTTAGAAAGAACGTGGAAGTGTCCCCACGAGGATAACATGCCATGTGGAAAGTACGTGATGGTGAGCGAAGAAAGCTCATACCCATCAAACGCTCTGAAGAATCAGATGAATAATGACTTAATGGAGGTGAGGAATTGGTAAGCTCATTTGAACTTTCAAGTTTGGCCCTTGGATAAAGCATGGACTCTGCTTTGATACAGAAAGATTGACGGGTTTGTGCAAGAGTTGTGCAATTTGAAAGTTGAAAACTTTAAGAGATAGAGAGATTCTAATCCGTCGAAGGGTGATTGATGTGATTTGTACTCTCTCTGACAAGCTAGATGAAAGAACACGGTCACTTGCTTTTCTTCCAAGAAGTGTACAGAATTTGAAAATGATTATTTAAATATTTTTTTTTTAAATTTTATTTTTAATATTAATATATTAAAACAATATAAAAAATTAGAAAAAAATAATATAAATTTTTAATTTTTTTTTAAAATTACTATTAAAACACTGTTCCAAACAAACAATTCATGTAATGAAGATAGAGAATTTAATTACCATGATTTCCCCTAATATTAGATTACAAGATAATTTATCTGTTATATAACACTATTAAATAAAAAGTTAAAAGAAACTAAAAGGGTAATGTTTTTATTATAGGATAAAAAATTCTTCATTCTTTCATATATTATTATTGTGTAGTGGAGTCATATTTTTTTTTTACCTTTTAATTTAATTTTTAAACTTTATTTTTTATACAATTGAACATTTTTTAACTTAAATTAGCAATTAATTACATGTTTTTTTTTAAATAAATTGTGAGACTGAAGTAGAAAATACATATAACATAGAAGGTAACTTTGGAAGTTACTTGAAAAATATATTTTAGTGTTCTAAACTTTTTTTTGTTATTATAAGATTGATTCCTTTAATTTTTAAAAATTATGTTTTGATGCAAAACCTTATTATTGTTGTTTTTTTTTCATGGAAGTGGAGAGGGAAGTCATCGAATTCCAATAATTTTTTTTTTATCAGGGATGATTTAAGTTATCAAACAAGTTAAAATTAGTATAAATGGATTATACCAGGTAATAGAAGTTTTGTAATAGTTGTTTTAAGTTTTAATGCAGTTTAAAAAATCAAGTATAAATTATTTTTTCCATGTTGATTTTATAGTTTGGATTATTTTTTAGGTTTGTTGGATTGAAATATTAGTTTTTTAGTGTCTCATGGATGCTTGTAGAGTGTTTTATGTTGAAAAATATTTATTTAGATAAAAAACTATTAGGCTTGATTTTTCAATCATCACTATAATAATTAAAATTTAATATGATAAATGACATATTATCAACAACATCAAGCAATATATCTTATATCTATTATTTTTTTCATAAAAAATAGTAGTAGAGCTCCTTTAAATAAGAAAAAAAGTAACAAACCCACAAGCATGAGCTTTTCCTCATGTGATATTGTTTTTCCCTATTGATATCTTTTTCTTATGTATTTTTAAAATGTTTTCTAATTTTTTTTATTAATACACCTTATATGTCTTTTTTTTAATCTTTTAGCTGTTTTTCAACTATGATTATTTTTTTAATTATATTAAATATCTTTAATTTTTTATAAGATTAATATGATTTATTTGTAATTTTTTATATATATTTTATATAAGTTAAATTTATCCTTAAAAAAATAAAATTTTGTATTTTTTATGATATTCTTAATGTGTGCAATGTTACAAGTATTGTTTTCTTTTTATTTTATTTAATAAATTTTATGTCTTTGTTAATTTATATTATAAATTGATTTTAACAAATAAATTCATCTAATATGGTTTGATAAATAACTTGTGTTGTGCTTTTAAGTACATTGATCTATATTTGTCTTTTATTTCTTTTAGTTTTATTTATCATCGTTTTTTTATCGAGTTATCCTGATATTGTAATATAGGATGCGCGATAAATACATGATTTTGATACATCTCATGTTCAAATCATGAATTTTGTATGTTAACTCAGCTTTGTTCGGTGCAATATTTTTTGTATTTATTTTTTATTGTTGTAGTTGTCTTTTTTTTTATCTTATTATCAAATTAATTAAAACTTGACTCAATTATTAATATTTTTTTATATTTTTAAAAACATAATCATCTTTTTATTTTTTTTAAGCTAAAAAGAATTTAACCTGGTTAGCAGCATTGTGCAGGTTGCCAGTTCAGTATATGTGTGAGTGCATGCATGTGTTAACCTTTTAATTTATAAAAATTATAATTCTTGAAGTAAAAAAAACTAGTTGATGATGCCCGTGTGCATGTGTGTATATAATATTTGCCTTCAATTAAATAAATTTAAAATTATACGAGTAAATAAATATTCTAAAGAGATATTGATATCTATAAAGTTTAAATTAAAAAAAGTTAAATGATGAATGTAATTTAAAAAATCTAATCTCATATTGCAATAATTATTAGAATCATGAGAGTGGATTTTAATGAAAAAAATATCTTGATAATATACCATGGATTTTAAAAAAAATATAAGAATAGGACATTGTAACGTTTTAAAGGAAACATCATGCAATAATAATAAAAAAAAGTTACGTAAAAAAAGTAAAAAAATAACAGATAAAATCCAGTGAAACAAAATAAAAAAGAATCACATAAGGTTTTCCAAAAAAACTGTTCTATAACTTTATATAAAAATGATATTTTGTCACAGAAACCAAAACAAAAACCAGATATAATTATTGTGTAGTTTGAATTATTTCTTTGAAAGGAAAAATACATAATGTCAGGCCAAATACTAGGACTAGTGGCTTCAAATGCCTTGTATAAAAGATTGTTTGAAAACACGGAACAATTAATATTTTTTTTTAAAATTATTTATTATTTATTAAAAATTAATTTTTTTTTAATATTTTAAATCGTTTTGATATATTAATTTTTTTAAAAAAAATATTATTATAATACATTTCAAAATAAAAAATATTTTAAAATGTAACTACAACTACATTTTTAAACAACTCATTTAAAAAAAAGCTTTATTTTATTTAATAACCAATATTCTATTGAAAAAAAAGAGTTTCTCCTTTTTATTTTTTTATATGAACAAATGTGATTATTTTATCATATATCTTTCATTTAATAAAAATAAAAAAACTATTAAAAAAATAAAATAAAATTCTGGATGGTTTCAAAGAGAAGCAAGAAACAATTCTTAAATTGAAACTCTTTTATCTTACGGATACCTCTTTTTTAGCTTGATTTTTTTTTATAATAATTATTGTTTTTCATGAAAATATAACTAAATTCAATGTAAATATATAAAAAAATATAAAAATAATAACTTTTTAATAATGTCACCAAACCCAATAACTTTTTAATAATATCTCCAAACCCAGAACAACCGGTAAACTAATTTGGAAATCACCTAACAAAACATTCGTTTAGTTTGAGTTTCAAATTATGATAAATATAACCATATTAAAATTTTGTTGGATTTCAATTAAAAAAATAATCAAAACATCATTATTTTAACCTTTTTTATTTATGTACTAAATGATTATATTTTTTATTGATTTTAATCAACTCAAATTAATTTCTCAAATCTATAATATAGATAATGATTCAAAATATACTTAATCAAACAACACATAATAAAATTGAGTAATTGAATAAATTTAAAAAATCACTATGAAGGGTTATATAAAAAAATTAGTTGTTTATAGAATACAAAAATGCCACGATCTCATAAAAAATAAAAATTCAACAGTATCTAAAAAAAACTTCATAGTTAGGTAGAAATATAAAGTGCAAAAAAAAAAAAAAACTAATAAACAAACATCAATGCTTAGGCTTGCATGCTTGACTCGTAAAAAAAGTCAAACCCACCTGCTAGGCTATTTTTACCTTTATTTATAAAATAAAATAGTGTATGAGACACATTATCTAAGACCTAGAATTTAATAAATACCTTAATCAAGGTCACAAAACACCTTAATAAAACTCATTTTATATAATATAATCTATCAATACTAAGATTAATATTTTTTGTGGTTGAAATTGATGTTAATAAATTATTTTTTTAATGGAATATGAAGAGCCCTTTTCTTTTATCTCGAATTTAGGAAGTTAAAAATAAAAAAATAAAATTTTAAATTAAAATAAAATTTTAAAAACTAAATCGACTGAAAAATATATCAATTGAAAAACAAAACCAAGTTACTGCTCCAATGTGGAGTGCACAAGTGAAGTGATGTACGGTAAGCGGCCCCATCTTTTAATTTTTTTGTTTTGTTAATTAATAATAATTAATAATTTGGAGTTGAAGGAAAGCTAACAAGGACAGGGCAGCTGGCCACAATCTTCGTTGTGGTTGGATCCATCCATCTGCGGCTGCAATCAAAGCGATCGATCAGGTAATTATGATAATAACTAATCACCAATGTGTTAAATCCAATTCAATTCTCCCTTAATAGTGCTTGTGATTACAGAGGAAATGAATTTTCTGCTGCGTCCTCCCACTCAGCACGTGACTGTCAAAAAACAGGTTCCGGTTTCTGTTGATGTTGATGAATCTCCTGCTGCAGTTGCGACTCTGGAGGGTCTTATAGGCGAAGATGGTGATATGGCTGCTGCTATTGGTGGTGGAAATGCCTCTGTTGTTGCTACAAAGAATGAACACTCTGATGTTTCTGAAGAAGGATGGATCATTATCCCTTACGGTACTACAACCACTGACTTCATTTTTAATTAATTAATTATGCATTTGGAACATGTGATGTTGATAGCCAATTACCCTCTTGTTGCTTGGGAAAATATAATAATTATCTGAGATTGTAGAGCATTTTGATTTATCAGTGGCTTTTGGTTTTGATAGCAGCAATGGTTATTTGGAATGCGTCTTCTTAGATCATCGGCAAACTTCACTGTTATTGAAACTCTGAAAGTTGGCTTTACCATGTTGCTAATTATTTAGCCAATGTTGCATCTCTGCCCATATTTAAAATTCAAGTGCATGGTGTGGGAAAATGGAGGCGATCTTCATATACTCTAAATCAGTAAAAAATGTTATCATTTTCTTTTCATAACTTATTTCTTTTAGGTTTTGATGACTTGGAGCTTCTGATTCTTAAAAAATTGAATCATGGTACCTTAGTAGCCTCTTGTTCTCATCACCTGTTATAAGATATCTAGTATTTTTCTGTTTTGCCTGCTTCTAGTTCATATCGTTGGAACCTAATAATGTGCTAAGTAGCAATTCCAATT